GGAAGAAATGGGGAAGTTCATTTAATCAATTATTGGTACAAATGTTCTTGGAGAAAATAGATTATGAACATGATCAGTCTGACCTTTTGACAGTAGAAATTCAAAAACTAAAAACTAGAAATATTTATGTTGATTTAGTTAGTAAATTGACATGTAGACCTGTCTGTGAACCCCTATTTTCCACTAAATATGGGATAGAAGAGGAGGAATGGCCACAAATGTATCTACTCCCATTTAAATGCACAATAGAAGTTAAGATGAGAGTCTTCCAGTTTAAAATTTTGCATAATATTCTATACACCAATGAGAGACTATTTAAAATGAAGCAAGTTCAGACAGAACTTTGCACATTGTGCGAGACCTCTGTTGAAACTCCTTTACACCTTTTTTATGAGTGTAAGGTTGCTGAAGATTTAAGACGAGCTTTTGTTGATAAAATTGGTCTAAAGCTATCTGTCAGATATGAGGATCTATCTAGGAAAAGAATGATGTTTGGATTCATAAAGGATTGGAAGGGACCACATAAAATATTATTAAATCACTTAATTATCTTATTGAAGAGATACATTTATATTCAGAAATGCAGGAATTTAGTAGTAAGTTTCATAGGTTTTGAAACGTTCATTTGCAAAATCAGACATATAGAATTGGTAATTGCTAAACAAAAGCACAAAGAAAACATGCACTATAGAAAATGGTCCCCTATTGAGAATTTATTTTAATTATTCATAATTATATTTTGATAATGATACAGTTCAAACCACCCGAGACTGATTTTTTAGTTTTTACATCAGGTCTGTTTGTTTGTTTGATTGTTGTTGTTTTTTTGTTTGTTTGTTTCTTTTTTTTTGGGGGGGGGGGGGTAATTGTTACAGTGATTCGTATTTGATTATTGTTCTTTTAATGTTATACAATTATTTAATTCTTGTATGATTGTTGTTTTTGTAATGTTACAAAAAATTTCGAAAATCAATAAAAAATTTGGGAAAAAAAATCATACAATAAAGGAACATAATCTACATATTAATAGTTATAAGAAAAGATACAATCATAAATATGATAATTACATTGAAAAAGCTGAATAAAGCCGTTGTACTCTAAAAGAAGCCCTGATTTTATCTGTGATTTTTTTTCTCAAACGAACATGTTCGGTAATATACTGATTAGAAGAATTCTCAAATGTTATGAATTTAATCAGGTGATAAAGTAAGAATTGCTAACAACCATGACCAACTATATTCTTGAACTAGAATCGTATAGCCCGCAACTTCCGAGTTATTTCTGATCGAATGTTTCTCAGCAAATGATGCTCAGCAGCTTTTAAACCATAGTATTCTAAAGCCACCCTGGTCAAACATTGTCTACCACAAACTCCGAGATTTCAAGTATAAAACAAGATTATCGACGAGTTGTAACATTTCGACTTACAGAAATTTTGGATTCACTAATCAGGAGATAATCTTATGCAGAAAATGTGGGCAAATGGTAATAGAAAATCAGGGCATTTGTTACAATATTGCGAGAAGTGGTTGGCACACAGTCGCAGACTATTTAAAGATATATTTTTTGTTTGTTGTTGAAATAAATCTTTATTCATATAAAATCATGGATAACATCGTAGTACATAAATATTCATAACAAAGCACTTAATCACATGTCTAAATGAGGTCAAATCAAATTATATCTATATTTACTTGAAAGCAGATTTTAAATTAGTAATTGTCTTCTTCCACTTAATAATATTCAAATTCGTTGTCTTAGTTTTGTTTTCCTCTACTTCTATTTTGTATTTCAACATAAATAAAAAATATTTGCTTATTATTCTCGTCACTACATTTTATTAAATTGATTTCCAACACTCGCTTTATAGATTGCAAATAAAGCATAATGAAGTATTAAATCAATATCTGTAACTTTTTCTTTTGCGTCATGGAAACCATATACAACACAAATGGGTGAGAATTTAAAATCTTTACAGAAGGAGTTACATAATAATATTTCAATAACGTTCCAAAATCGGTAAATATTTTCGCATTAAAAAAATACATGTATAATAGTACCAGGTTTATTACAGTAATAACACAAATTGTTTTCTTTGATTTTCCATTTGAATAAATTAACAGGTGATGGTAAAATATTATACATAAATTTAAAGTTGAATTGTATCAAATAATTATCACGAGCATATTTCAATTTAAATAACCATAAAGAATCCCACTTAATAGTAAAATTTGTCTCTAAGGTTTTGTTCCAGAAGTCTACCGCCCTAGATGGTGTTTGGATTATTTTTTTATGAGTTCCGTAAATATTTTTTCACAGTAATAGAGTGTATTGAGAATTCAAAACAATTCAAATTCAAATTAGAGTATATCACTGATTTACGTTTGTAATCGTTGAAATCATAAACTTGTTCGCCATATTTTATGATTCGCCTCCATTTTTGTTGTATTGCGGTTCTTATTTTGGCGTATTCTCTCAACCATCTACCATCATAATAGATAAGTTTATCTTTCAATTCTTTGACAGTCAAAAATCTATTTCCTATCACTATATCCCCTAAAAATAATATACCCGATTTTATCCAATTTTTATACAATAATGCTTTTACTTTAAATTTGATATCACAATTTAACCAAATCATTTCTTTTGTAACACTTCCATAGGTGTGGTGTATATCTTTTACATAATTAACTTGCTTTACAGCAAACCATGTACAAAGTAAGTCACAATAGAAATCAGGTATTTTCCCTCTACATGTGCGCTGTACAAATTCCTTAAAGGTACTGTGCACTATCCAAAAGTCAATTCTCGACGCCATTTTTAAATGAGTATTTCGATATGTAATTTTTTTTATATCTCTATGCATTTTTCTCCAAATATCAATCATACCATATTGTTTCAGTAACTTTATATATTCTTTAGGCTGTTTGTAAACTGTTCTACATCCGATAGTAGCTAACGACGCATCGTTATTAACACAATTAAAGTCACCACCAATAATCAATGCATAGGAATCTAATTTGTCAACATTTCTTATACATCTAGATAGACGTTCATAGAACACATCTTTGTTCTATTTTTAAGTTGGTGCATAGACATTAATCAACAAATTTTTTCTCTCTCCTGCTTCTATTTCAACCACTATTATAACTCTACCGTCATTTGATAGCTGAATTAATCTGGTATGAAATGACACGTTCTTCTTTATGAGGATTACAACACCCCGCTATGCTTCGTTCCAAACGAGTGAAAAGTTTTATCTCCCCATTCTTCATCAATTTTTTTTTTGTATTTCTTCTGTCAAAAATGTTTCCTGTGTCATAAAATTACATTTGACTTTTGTCTAACAAGAAATTGAAACAACATATTTCTTTTTTGCTTATTTCTTAGCCCTCTCCAATTCAGAGAAAAGAGATTTAAACAATTAACACCTTCGATCATTGATATAATATTCTAAAGTTGTTATATACTGATTTGTAACCAGGCTTCTCCTTCGTTTCTTCGATTTTCTTCTGATGAGTATAGTTACCTGAACTATTTTTTTGTTTGAATCCTTTCTTCTCCTTTTTCTTTCTTGTCGATCTTTTCGTTTCTTATCTTTGTCTCTCTCCGCATTTTCTGATCGGTGGTCGGTTGATTCATATCCATCATTGTTATCGCTGTTCTCGGGATCCGAGCTTTGACTTGCACTGACAGGTGTACATCTTTCTGCGCCAATGAACTTGTGTTGTTTACATTTTTTTCCACGGCTGTGTTTACTACTCGTGCTATGTGACTCATGTTCACCGAACTCTCAGTGCCACTAGGGCGTTCACCATTCATCGGCTCATGCTCACCTGTGGTGCCGACGCTCGGGGTCTGATCATGTGACGCTTCACATTCATAGCTTTTGTGACCCGTTCCTTTGCATCGTTTGCATACGAATGGCTTGACGCACGTTGATGCATGGTGACCAGTCTCTAGGCATCTCGAGCACGTTGCTAAAGACGCTCCGGATATTTGACCATCGTGGAAGATGCGAGCCTTGAACGAGGCAAGCCTAACATGGCGGTCGATCGGTTTCTCCAGCAATTCCATGTACAAGACCCTGTCGCCGTTCAAACATGATGTAAGCTGGCCATTCACTCGCAGACGTTGTCTTACTATTTTCCTCTCACTTTACATTTTTCCCTTCTAGCTCATGAATAATTACTTCATCACTCACAGACAGGGGAACATCTTTTACAGTAACATCTTTTACATAAAGATATGATTGTGCCTTTAAATTGGATGTCAAGACGGAGATATAAAACTACAAACAAACGATAATAACTTTATAAATGAGTTACATAGAAAAATGTGTATTTATTTGAAACGCATTGGGCCAAAAAAAAAAAAAACATGTTTATCGTCCTGTTTTTTCGAAAAATAGGAAGGAGGAGGCCCTTTTTTCTTTCTTTCAAAATGGCCGCTCAAAATGGCCGCTCGGTACATTTTCCCTGACATTCGGGCTATTTTTCAAGATGGCGGCCGACATTTTTTTTTTTTTTTTTTAAATGAGAAATAGGTCCATTTTAGCAGTGTTAAGAGGAGGCGGTCCCCCAAAAGGAAGCGGGCGGGGACGCTAAACATGTTTATTATTTTTAATGGCCTTAGAAGAAGAATTGTGGAGATAAAGCCTATTTAACAATTTTCTTAGCCATGCATAAATTATTTAAATTTAAGTAAAAAATTAATTGTTGATAGAAGATTTACTAAGATCTCATCTCTCCCCCCCCCCCCATCTCTCTCTCTCTCTCTCTCTCCCCCCTCTCTCTCTCTCTCTCTCTCTCTCTCTCACACACACACACACGCACCCGCACACACACACACACACTTCTCCCATCCTCCTCTCTCTCTCTCTCTATCTCTCCCTCCCATTCTCCCCCTAATTCTCCCCCTTCTCTCTCTCTCTCTCTCTCCCCCTTCAATATTCCGCATTCTCCCTTCCTCCTTCCTCCTTTTATTCTCTCTGAATACAGTACCAGTGTCTCCTGAAGTTCTACTCCATCTTTGTTACCGGAATGTGTACCGTTCTATGTGTCTGGAGCTCTCACATCAGACGGGACTATTCAACATGTCGGAATGTTTGACGGGGCAGACCGAGTCTTATCACAGTTCAAGGGATGTCACACCCTCTAATACAACCAGCTCCACTCCAGATCCCCTCTTAGCTCCCCTACACGACTGTCGTGAGAGGCTTAGTTTCCAAAATGGGTTGCTCCTGGCAACAACGTTCTTGATGAGGATCTTGCTGACTGTTCCTGCAATCTTTATTGTCGATAAGTGAGACTTCGAACATGCAGGACTGTACTCAATTTCATTTTATCGAATGTACAATTACAAATTCTAGATAATTCTCGCTACCCTAAATAGGTACGAAAATCTCGAAATTCGCGAGACGAGGTAATTTTCACTCTCTCGGGTCGTCACTACAACTTCCGGTATAGAGTCCCATCCCGCTGGCGCTAGCGCCTGTGTTCGCTGTGCAGAGTTTTCACGCACGCTAAAGTCGATGCCAATCAGTGTAATTTGTACAGATTATAATATGCAATGGAAAGCTTCGGGCAGAATTAGTGACTTAAGCACAAAAGGCCGTTAAACTCTACCGTGAAAGAGAGGGTTGTGATCACGAACGCCTGCACAGGAAGCTGTAATGTCGAAAAGCTATCCCATAATGCAATGCGCGTTTTCAGGATTTTCCCCGGATCTCGGCAGAATCGCTATTTGGGGTAGCGAGAATTCTCTCTCTCTCTCTCTCTCTCTCTCTCTCTCTCTCTCACACACACTCTCTCTCTCTCTAAGTTTTCCAATTCCTCGCCCAACAAGACAATACATGTATGTATGTATGTAAGAAGCCTTTATTCTTATTACTCAAAATAGACGACTAAATTGGAGCGATATCATAATAAGCGCTTTGGACCATCCATGAATTTGAATTATCACATATTTATTTCTGGGCCTATCCCTTTGGGCCTTCAGTTAATGCTTGATTAAATATTGTTGATTGGTATTTTCTTTTTCAGAGTTGGACTGTTTTCAATGTTTTTCTTCGGTACACTCTTGACTCTGATCGCCTGCTTGAGTAAGATCCTTCTTGATGTTGACAATGTTGTTGTTATTACTGCTACTCTTTTTTATCACCTCTCTCACTCTCTCTCTCCCTCTCTCTTTTCTTTCTCTCACTTACTCTCTTTCTCTTCGTCTGTTAATCCGTAACTTAAAGAGAAAGTCCAATTAAAGCAGAAAACGTAAAGAAACAAGTAATTCAAAGTTTGATGAAAATCCGATGAAGAATGAGAAAATTGTAGGTTGTTATAGTGACTTACCCCCATCTTTATTTATTAATTGCTTTATAAATCTTAAATTTCCATTTTTCTTGCGAAAGAAATATTGTACAGCCACCCTATATACTTGTAATTATTTCACATATAATTCTACACAACCCCTATACGAAGTTAATCGATTCCTTAATCTTCATTAAAGAAGAGGGCTTTTTTTTTCTCTCGCTCTCTCTCCAGCCCTTTTTATTTTCAGTAGAAAGCAAATGGAAAAAACTAATTAAATTCTTTGAATTTTACAGTGATGGGCTTTGCTGACTCGATCTTGGTACTTTTTCTATCGCGAGCACTCCAGGGCATCGGTACGACTGCAGTAGAAATCGCAGGTACGTTTGCCACTCTCCACCCTGGTGTAGTAAATGTGTACCTGGTATAATGTAGCTATTATTCAAGTCATTGTTATTGATTATAACTTTCATGTTAAGATATCTCGGAATCATCGGTGTAGGTAATAATATATTCCAAGATATCTTAACATGTAAATGTATATACAATACAGTGTACAAATTATATATCTTTCTCCTCTTTCTCCCGTTCTCTATCCCCTCTCTCTCTCTCTCTGTCTCTCTCTTTCTCTTTCTCTCTCTTTCTCTTTCTCTTATCTTTCTCTCTCTTTCTCTTCTCTCCCCTATATCTATGCTTAAACTTCCTACTTGTGCATTTATATTGCCAACACGTAGATTTTATTCATGTATCTAAAGTATCAACAATCAATGATGCCACAAATGTACTGGATTGTCCAAACACAATATCATTTAGCCGCACTATAATCAGTGGCACTGCATGTAATATTTAGATAAATGATATTGGATAAGACTAGTAATAATATGCGGTAGCTAAGTAGGTAAGTAAGCAGGTAACTAATATAAATAATGACAATGGCGGTGATAATAATAATATCAATGATAAGCTCCTATTTTTAATTACCTTTCTGATGGAATTGATGTAAGAATGACGATTTAAGTCTGTTATTTCGTTTTTATTATGAATGTATTTGTCTCATTATTATACTACTTGTACCAACCATACAGGAGAAATTTCCTGACATTGACAATAACTTATAAACTTATACTTATAAAAGGCATCATTGTAACATCACGTTTGTGAGATTTGAATTTAGGACAGAAGCCGTTTACTCCACGAGTGGAGATACAAATGGAAATCCTTTAATGAGAGGGCTAGGAATCCAGAAAAAAGCGAGAGGTTATTGTATATAAATCCTCAGTGACTAATATGCTTAATGTCCGTTGTGCAGTGGCACAAGGACATGATTATCGTAATTATTGTTATATATTTTGAAATGATCTAACTACAAACCACATAAATATGTAATTGAAAGGTCTTTATTATAATTATTATCATTTCATTCATCTAAAGGAGTTGCTTATTTGGCCGTAAGATACCAAGATGACGAGATGAAGAAAGGATTTGTTCTTGGTTTGGTGGTCAGCGGCTATGCTTTAGGAACACTTAGTAAGTCTTGCATTATTTCATTTTCTGACTTTGGCCATCCTATGTATAATAGGTATTAAGCGGAGGGCCAAAGTCAGAAAAAGTGGTTTGTCTGCCACTACCAGACAATCTTAGCACACCTTATTTATTCGAAGATTAAATTAAGATACACCATATTCCAGGTGTGTTTTTTTCAAAGCGATCACCCCTTAGTCGGAGGGGCCCTTTTGACGAAAAATAGTATTTTATAAATAATATTTCAAGGGAACTTTGAGTTTGGTAAAAGAAAAAGAAAGAAAATCAAATCATTTATTTGTGTATACTAATTCCCATCACGCTTTGAAGTATAACACATGATTTTTTTGCATGTGATTGTTTTTCAACAAAATAAATTTTATCCAAAACCGTTATTTTCCATGTATCATAATCGGAGAGGCGTCTTTTATAGTAACTTTCCAGGAATTTGGCCATGTATAAGGATAATATATTGTTTAAAGGGAGGCCTATATGTCTTTTCAGTGAAAAGTTATAGCAACCCAAAGTAATTTATTTGACTTCCACAAAAATCGACATTTTTGCCCGTACATGTATTAACAGTATGCATATATTTGTATTCATGTATTGAGGACGTGTAGATTCCACAACTCTCCTTCCTTTTCCTGTCCCTCTTCTTGCTTTCAAATCGATTTTAAAGATATTTTTTAAGTTAAACCTCTAAATATGAATAATTAAAGTACCTTCAGCTTGATATAAATTTCATTGAGTTATGTATGTGTGTAAAATATAAATTTTGAGCCGATAATGTGTTTTTTAGGATAATTTTCCCCCTAATTTAAATAAGTTTGTTGACAAGATACCGGCAAATTTCGGAAAATGGTAATCACGCCCTTCATAATTGCTATAAGCGGTACAGATCAATGAAGGCTCGAACTTCACGATTCCTTAATTCCTTTGTCCCGCCTCCCATTCGTAAATACAATGAACAACTCCAGTCAAATTGAATAAGCCTGCGTGTATCTTGCCACTTCGCTATTCATCAATTGCATTGTACCCTTTCTTTTTAAATACACGGACCAATTAAACTAAGCTGAATCTGAATCTGAATTATCGTGGCTGTCAAGAGCGCCAGTTAAAAGGGGGTAATGCTCAAATAGATTCTGTATATCAGCATCTAGACTTACTATGATGCACACCATGTTATAATTTTAAGAGCAATTCGAAGGATACTCAGGGACTGATGGGGATGTTGAGAACATTTTCTTATAATTCAGATACTCTAATTGCGTGTTTACAATCAGATAATAACTTAACAAATTTTTGAAAGGAAATGGAAAGAAGACCCTGAATACAAGCCTTTCATGATTGTGGGAACGGCTGCGGTTGTTTTTTCCAGACGAGTTATGATGCACGATATTTAAAATTAGTAATCTAGCGTCCTTGCCTTCAAGTTGTGATTCTCGGCTTAAACGATTACGAAGTAATTTATTTTTCTTGCATTTTAATCTCCCCGCCCCCCCCCCTTTACCTCTCTCTCTCTCTCTCTCTCTCTCTCTTTCTCCCTCTCTCTTTCTTCCTCTCCTTCCTTCCCATCCCATCCCCCTTTTACCTCTCTCTCTCTCCTCTCTTTCTCTCTCTCTCTTTCTTCCTCTCCTTCCTTCCCATCCAATCTCCCCCTTTACCTCTCTCTCTCTCTCTCTCTTTCTCTTTTTCTTTCTTCCTCTCCTTCCTTCCCCTCCCATCTCCCTCACTCCCCCTCTCTCTCCCTCTCTGTCTCTATCTCTCTTTCTTCCTCTCCTTCCTTCCCATCCAATCTCCTCCTTTACCTCTCTCTCTCTCTCTCTCTCTCTGTCTTTCTCTTTCTCTTTCTTCTTCTCCTTCCTTCCCCTTCCATCTCCCTCACTCCCCCCCTCTCTCTCTCTCTCTCTCTCTTTCTCCCTCTCTGTAGTCGGTCCAACTTTAGGTTCTGTCCTGTATGGACTAGTAGGTCAGTCTGCTCCATTCCTGGTCATCTCTGCTGTATTAATTGCGTCTGTGGGTATGTTCTCTTTCTAGGTCAGAAGATAGTTCGTTCAAAATATTTACCCCAACAAATATAATGATCGAAAGACTTCCAAGAAATCAACTTAGGGGCAATGTTATACTCTGCTATATTCCATATCGAAATCATGTACGGATGCTGTAACATGCTATTAAACGTCCCAACATTATCAAGGGATATTGCAAATGCATTAGCATGTGTTGATTATTCGAAAGTGTTTGCGATCCTGTTCCGTAGTATACCACAATGTATCTTCTCTTTCAAAATCATGTTGACAGTGAAATCTACCCCATATGTGGAAATAAGTAAATGAGATTCATAAAATATATATAAAACGTCTAGGATTGTTCGATATTAGGCGTGGTTTACTTTTTTTCCAGTACATTATTTGTTTTTAAAAAAAGTGTCTCTATGATCCTCATCAAAGGAACTTTTTTAATTGACTTGTAATGTGTATATGCCCATCATACGCCAAATATTTTAGAGTGTTCATGTCCTTTTTCTTCTCACAGTTTTCATTCCAGTTTTCATGCCTGTGGACGTACGACCTCCTTTAACAGAGGAGGGGTCATCCTCTCTTAACTTAATAAAGGATCCTTACACCATGCTGGTCTCGGGTATGTAGCAGACGTATAATAATGACATTAAATTTATAAAGCCCCTCTGCTAATCGAAGCGTTTATAGTGACATTCTAATCATGCTGGGAACCCACTCAACACATGGGTGGAGAGAGGCAACGTAGATAAAATGGTAGATCATTGGTGGTTCCAATAGTCTCTTGCCGGGGGAGGGGGGAAGTTGCACAGGTTGTTGTTGTTGTGTTTTGAGTTATTGGCGATTAGTCAGTGATTTGACTATTGTGGCCAAAATACTTTACGGCACGTGTTATATCTCTCAATTTTGGATTTTAAAAAAAATATATTTATTTCGTTTTATATTTATCTATCTTTTAAGATAGTATCGTAAAATAATATCGTAAGCAAAACATTCATGGGCTTTGTTGGTGTTTCTTAACAGTACGTGCAGATTATTTGTTATATCACATACACACCATACATAAATATGTGTATAAGATAGCACCTACACAAGCCTCTATATTCAGTAATCTTATCATACCTTTTATCATTGTTGTTACTTTTTCTTATTTTGTTTTCTTAATACATTATGTTATTATATTTTTAATGTACTGAGTGTAATTTAACATATTTATAATATTGTATTATGTTTTACTTATTTTATTTTCTTATTACATTATGTTATTATATTTTTAATGTACTGAGTGTAATTTAGCATATTATAATATTGTATAATGTTTTACTATTCTTATTTTATTTTCTTATTACATTATATGTTATTATATTTTTAATGTACTGAGTGTAATTTAACATATTTATAATATTGTATTATGTTTTACTGTTCTTATTTTATTTTCTTATTACATTATGTTATTATATTTTTAATGTACTGAGTGTAATTTAGCATATTTATAATATTGTATTATATTTTACTGTTCATCAAGGGAGGTATTATTTCCTGATAGGGAACCGTTTCGTTCTGAGAAAGAACCGTACAATAGCTTTTTGTATACTGGTATACAGGTATTCAGTTATGGTGGAGCTTAATTAACAAAAGTGCATCCACTTTAAAAAAAATTGCATTGAAATTACAACGTCTTTAACCGTGAAATTTATCAAAGAGAAAGCCAAACTCGTATTTTGTCTCTATTAATAATTCATTCATAATTATTGTTGATGCCTAGAAACATTATTTCACATGAAAAAGAAGAGCCTTTGAACCTTTAACAAATTTTATTCAGGTATTCTTTCTTAGTTGAAGGGAATGTAACTGAATTTGTATCATCACCATTACATATCTTGTTTTCATATGCAGTTCTCGCTTTGATGACCTCGATGGGCATGGCCTACGCTAGTGCAACCCTTCCAATCTGGCTTCGATCAACTTTCCACACACCAGAATGGCAAATAGGTAGTGACAGATACCGGGGGCACGATTGGTTGCCCCTATTTAACTCAAAATCTTCACAACACAAAGAATCCCTTCCCCCATTGTGTTTTTATGCCGACTTGCAAATTCTTGACCTCAAATATCATGTTCATTTCACGTGACGTATTTTTCTATCGTTATGCATTATTTCCTTTACTTCTTTATTTATTCATATGTTTCTTTTCAGAGGCCTCAACTATACTTTTTTTCACATGTTCAAAGTGTAGTCGCTGGCGAATCCATAATAGGCTTGGTGTTATCCCCTCCCCCACCCCTGTAAAAAGCCCAGGCACTCTCATTGGAGTGTGTCACCGTCAAGCAAAACCGTCATTCACACCCCCTCCCCCTTCTTCAAAAGGGATTTGGCCTCCCTCTACACTGTCTCGAACTGTTCTCGAAATTATATCATCACACCGTTTGCAACCATTATTTTTTCAGAACCATGTAGAAATGGTACGAATTACACACAAAAAAGATTAAGATGAACGGTTATAAACGTAAAGTCTATTGTAGAATTGTAGAGCTACATGATGGGAGCGTTCTGGTGGAGTGGTATAGTGATGACGATGATGATGGTGATGATCGCAGGAATACGGGCATAGTTAGTTGCAGCTCTCCCTATTAACAACAAAATAAAATAAAAACAAATACAAAAGATAATTACGTCAATAAAGTGCTCATTTTTTTCTCCAGGTCTGATTTTCATTCCAGCCAGTATCGCGCACGTCATATCAGGACCTCTTATCGGATACTGGAATAAAATATTGAAAAGGTAGCTATTTCGTCATTTTTTTTCTTCCACTGTAACGTTCATCAAGGTTTTTTTTTCTTCTTTCTTACACCTTTTCAAAAGGAATGATATATTCGAACGAGAGATGTTCAGGAAATATGGACTTTTGTGGTTCTGTTGATACAAAATGTATCATGCTTGATATTTTTATGTAAAGTGATAATTTCAAAATAAGAAAATGGGAGGGTTTAATTGTTACAATATTAGAAATTCATCATCCGTTTTATTCACATGTTTATTCATAAAATTTGTGCTTATTATGTATGTCTATATTCATATTTTTGAATGTCGCATAAAAGTATTAAAATTTGGAGAAAACTGTTCACTCTCTGCAATCACAGATGGAGGTGTATGTTTGTTGGGGTGTTAGCGATGGCCATTGGTATTTCCACGGTAAGTTAGATACGTGCACTAATTTCAATTCAATTTCAATTTATTCTTGTTTCCAACAAAACATTACAAATCAATTATAAGCATTTAAAACAAATGTAGAAATACATGTTGGAAACAGAGGGGTCCACTAAAAAGCAATGCCTGTACAAGCGTGAACACCTCAAATGATACTTAGAAATAATTAGTAATTAAATTAGACAAGTTCATGAATATATTATTTGCGTGCACATATTTTTTTTTCTAAGTTAATAGTTACTTTTGACAACTACGGTATACAGCTTGACAACGGCTCACCCAATACACCAACTATATACTCATGTACGACATATTTATCCAAATACAATGTCAGCATGTCATTGAAAGGAACATGTGTCGATATATCAGGTCAAAGTGGTGTGCAAGAAAAAAGTTTCACACGGTTTAAAGTAGAAAATAAGAATGTCAACGTTTGCTTTTAATCTATATATTTCATAATATACCAAGCATTTAGCTTGAAAGTATAGTGGAAATTATATATCTTCGGAGGGACTGGCAATAGTTAGGCCTACTTGTTTTCCTCGAGGCTTCGCCCCCGTGGACAAAATAGTACTATGCCAGTCCCTCCTCAGATAAATAATTTCTGGCAGCTTTGTATATTTGTATATTGACTATCTTAGCAGAGCAATATTTTATGTCTATTGTATCATTCTGACGCTTCATGGTTTTGTCTGAAATGCAGGCTTCATTATGTGAATTAGCATTACTATCATTAAAAAATGAAGTAAAAGTATAACAGTAGGAAATGAATAAGTAGTAGTTACAATTTTATATTATTTATACTGATTAATACTATTCACGTTTTATCACATAGATTCCACTAGCTCACGGGATCTGGCACTTGATTCCCTCTATGTGCTTCCTTGGATTTGCATTTGGTGAGTTGAATACTGATAATAGGCCACGCCGGATACATCATCATTATCAACTTTAGGTGGCGCTGTAAAGCGCTGCTGTGGTCTTCACGAGAGCACGCCATGCAACTCTTTCACCTGCCATTTGTGTTGCACCTTTCATTCCTTGTCCAGACACTTTCTTGATATCATCAGTCCAAGATATTGGTGGACGACCTCTACTCCGTTTTCCCTCGACTGCTCCTTGCAGTATTTGCTTCTCAACACCTTGAGATCTCCTCACAATGTGCCCAAAATAGTTTAGTTTTCTTTCCATGATTCCCCTTCTGATGGTCAAGTCTGTTCCAATCTTTTCCAGGACCCACACATTTGTCTTTTTATATTTCCATGACACCTGTAACAGCCCCCTTTAGCACCACATTTCAAAGGCATCAACTCTCTTTCTGTCATTCAAGTCATGGCCCAGGACTCACTTCCGTAAGTCGCAATAGAGACCATGATTAAATCACTCTGCCCCTCCTTTTCTAACCTCCCCCTCTCTCTCTCTCACTTTCTCTCTCTCTCTCTCTCTCTCTCTCTCTCCCCTTCTCATTCATTCTAATCTATATTTTTACCCTATCTTTCTCTTTAATGGCAGGTACTGTTGATAGCACCGTAATGGGAATAATGTATCAAATTGTAGACGTTTGGTATAACGGAGCGTACAGCTTGGCTGCCGCCCTTTTAGTCTTTAATTTTAGTCTCGCGTACACAATAGGTACGTAACGTTTTATCTTGTTCATGATTTGTATTAAACAGACACAGTTCTCATTGAATCCATTTAAAATTAATATATATTTTACCTCCCCCCCCCCCCCCCTCCTCACCATTTCTCTCCAAAACTGCTACTCGTTCTGAGCCTCTTCTCCTGTTTTTTCATAAAACGACAAGTTTTATCATTTAATGTTGAATGACCAAAACAGAAATTAGCAATAGATCGTTCTCTCAAACAAAATTGCAATGCTACCCAAAAGGGTCACTTAGAAAAAGGAGATTATTTAAGGAGATTCGTCATAAAACAGATTTCTTAATTAGAGCATTCTAATTGTTGAGGTTAGATAACGGCTACCCTAAAATAATAAAATAATACAAATAAAAATATAAATCTTGGTTATTACCATTCTCCTTACAGGTACGCTGGCTTCAGGTTCTATTGTTAGATTTATTGGACTTAAATGGTAAGTTTTATGTGAGCTATATAGAACTTCTAGCTGCTGGAATGCCGTGTATTTTACATTCATTCACGTTTAAAGCGTTTTTAAAATGCAGAATTTGTCAATCTTTGCAACGGGAGCCAAATCTTTACATGATTTTGTTTAAGAACTTTTATAATGAAGAAAAAAAGGGGTGGCTAAATATTCAATCGAATGTCTGTTACTTGAAGAGAGGGAGAAAGATAGATAGATAGATAGATAGATAGATAGATGGATATAGAGACAGAGACAGAGCAACAAAAAACCAGACAGATAAACAGATATAGATAGAGAATGAGAGAGATCTTAAACTATGAGAACAAATGACATTGCGCATTGTTAGCGTGTCTTTAGAAACAATTTATTGATATGACATTTAGAGGGTAAAATTATGTTCTATTTTCAGCAACTTTCTTCGTCTTTTTAATTGCGACGTACCATAAACCGAACTCAAGTCTAATTAATTTTTTTATATTGCATTTTGTTGTACAGGACTATGTGGAGCTTATCGATAGCCATTCTTGTGTCTTCGCCATTTTGTTTACTGCTCAGTCGAATCCCAGAAGAGAAAACAACCCTACCATCTCCTGATCAAGATGCTCCGAACTATCAACCCGAGACAATAGAAGATAAACCACAACCATCGCTTGATGAAACCACGCGATTAATCAAACGATGATAGCAAACTAGCGTTAACATGATCGCAAAGACTTTCGAGAAACCAATTTAAGGGCAGTCTGAATATTTTATTATAATGTACCAAATTCATGTTCGCATTTTGTAATTCATCATCGTAATGTTCTCACAGTTTAATGAGTGATGATAAACAAGGCTCAGATCGAAATTGCCTACAGGTTGATTTGACGAATGTCTCACAACACTTTATAATGTGCTCCGGCAACAATAAATAGGGACTTTTAGATTTGCACAACGAAAACGTGCATTGCTACGATCGACGTCCTTTTAATGCACTGCCTTGAATGGACGTCACACGTATTAGTCCACGCAAATCTAAAAGTCCTTATTGTTCCCGCGGACAACTTCTCACACTAACTAAATTCCTGATTTCAACCATTATACCTAACCGTAAATCTACCCTAAAACCAAACCACCACCATTATATATTCCTTGCCCTACCTTTGACAAAGCAAAACGCGGAGCAAACGTCCCCGGAGCATGTATCAGATTACTTTCAGACACTTACGGATGCTGTATGCCACTACGATGCCTTTAACAATTTGCGTTCTGTAGTCTATGTTTCATCAAAGAAGAACGCTCTCTGATTAAAATTTAAATAATTTATTTCCAGATTATTATGGCAACAAACTAAAGTGTTCTCGTAAGGATCTGTAATACTGTTATAACTTATTTTACCCATACTCCCTCCGTAATGCACATAACCTCTCTTTACCTATAAGCCAAGAACTAATTATTGTAAAAGAACTTTTGTGTACAGAGCTTCTTTTCAATATAATAAATTATCCCCTGATTTGCGTCAACTACCCACTTTTGCCACCTTTAAGACTAACCTAAACAGACAATAATCACCTTGTTGTTGTACCTCTTTATGTATGTTTATATGATGTTTGTTTTGTTTGTTTTTTTGTTTTTTGTTTTTTCTTTAAGTGTTTGTATTATGTTTTCGACTGATACTTTGTAATTATTTATTTTGTTAATTTGTAATAATATGTATATTTTGTACATTGTAAACTGGCCCCATGGAAGACCAGCAGCAATAATTATAGTTGCAGCTGAATATGGGCTACCAGCCGTATACGGTCCCTTTTTTTCTCTGTATGATTATTTTATATGTATTTGTATCTGATTTTTTATTATACGGAAATAAAAACAACAACAATAACCCAAACTCTCTATGAACACGATGAAACTAAGTTTTACGGGTTTGCTTCTTTAGCATGCCCTTTCGTTTTATAGTATTTAGGTCAACAATGTTTCGTTAATATTGCTATTTTGTCATTTATACAATACATTTTATCACATTGTTTAATGTCATTATTGAATTTATTTCTACTTTGTTAAATGTGTTTGTATTGAAACGGAAATAGATATATCAATTCAAATCAAACCAAGGTCAATGGTTGAATGTAATGGTAATTGATGAGGACACCACCATAAACATTCTTTGAAAATAGTTCAAATATTCCTCTTCCGAACTCGAAGAACATGAAAAAGGGATACAAAAACTCTTTCTTGTAATATCCGGAACGCGTCACAGCGCCATCATCATTCATGTAGCAGTCGGCGTAAAAAAATAGGCGTACTTGGATCGTGTTTTGTCAAAGTTATCATCATAATTATTTTGGTATTATTTCTCAAACTTGGCACCATCATATTCTACAAAATAATGGATATTAACTTTATAGAGCAGTATCATCTATTAACCTAGATAATAGTATTTATAATTTTGTTATCCCTCTACTTCACTTTTATTTCATGTTTTATGGAAATAAATTCGATTCAATTCAATTTAATTAGATTACATGTTACAGGTGAATTGATGTTTGGTCTACACCCAGTCCACGTGGTCTAATACTCATTTCGTCTTCTTATAAGTTGGTCTAATGACCATTTAGGCTGAAAAGATAGCACATTTTCAAATCGTTTACCTAGAAATGATAAAATGTTTTTCCAAAATAAAGGCAAAATATTCGTACATCATAAATATATATTTATATTCCAACTTTCAATTTCTCCAAACAATCCTTTTGTACGCAGAACAAATGAATAAAATTCATGATATCATAAAAAAATATATTAAAATTAGTTGGTATGCGTAGAATATAATTTTGATCAACAAATTAATTTGCTACCGTAATATCCTTAAACTGCTGGCGAACAGAGCAACAAGACCAAGCTCTGTAATTATTAGGATATCTGTCCAGTAGTGTCGTGTTTGTGCCATTGAACTGGATCGACCAAATCAATTGATTCATAATATATGTATATGCAATATTTTTTCCCGTAACATGAGAGTAATTTTAATAGTTTCATACTATTAATTAAATGTATTGTTAACTGTAACTGTATAATTGTTTTAAATGGGGGCACGCTTCAAGAGTCCTATCTCGCACCCCGGGGCGCGTTATTTTTTTATGCGGCACAGATTGGGGCTTTTTTTTAAAAGGGGTCTTGATTTACAGACTAATAGTGGTCGTGTGCGTACTAGTAGTAGAGGTCTGTTTTTAATAGTGTTACATGTAATCAACTACCGTATGAAAAATCATTACATCAACAATTAAAATGCAATTGGAAATCTGAAGAGGAGGCAGCACGTCAATAAGAAGAACATCACAATAATTAGTCAATAAAACTTAATAAACTTAAACGAAGAGGAATGTTATCTAAACACATAGTTCGCGATGGATATTCAAACTTCTTCGCAGCGCTAATGCGCTAGCGAACATGCCTAGTCTCACGTACGTGCAGACATTATTCAGAAGGGAAAGAACGTACTTCCCATAGGCTCAACACGCACCATGCCCCAATCTGTGCCGCATAAAAAAATAACGCCCCCGGGGCAACGTGTCTGACACGGCCGGTTGTAGCAACTACTCCGAAGATCAAGATTACAGTAATCTTGATCTAAAGCCCCAGTCCCATATAAAGCCGGACCAGCGCGGACCATCCCGGACCATGGTCTGGGGTGATCCGGGATGGTCCGGGATGTTTTGTTCAAAAAAGTGTGATGCTTTAAGCCCCAGTCCCATATAAAGCCGGACCAGCACGGACGAGCACGGACCACTCCGGACCATCCCGGACCATGGTCTGGGGTGATCCGGGATGGTCCGGGATGTTTTGTTCAAAAAAGTGTGATGCTTTAAAAGCTACAGTCCCATATACGTCCCGGACCGTCCCGGACCATCCCGGACCCCATCCGGGGTGATCCGGGATTCGGTCCGTGTTGACACCGTGTTGGCACCGGGGTGGTCCTGGATGGTCCTGGATGGTCCTGGGTGGTCAATAACTCACTCCCGGACTGCCACGGATCAACACGGACCGCCCCGGCGCCACTACGGATGACCCCGGACCCAGCACGGTGGCTACACGGATCACCCCGGATCAAACTATTGTCCCGGACCGTCCCGGACCACCCCGGCAGTTTTTGACCGTCAAAAACATCCGGGGTCGACTCCCGGACCGCCCAGGACCATCCAGGACCATCCAGGACCATCCAGGACCATCCAGGACCACCCCGGTGCCAACACGGTGTCAACACGGACCGAATCCCGGATCACCCCGGATGGGGTCCGGGATGGTCCGGGACGGTCCGGGACGTATATGGGACTGTAGCTTACGGAGACACGAACGAACGAACGAACGAACGAACCGTAATTGATAGGAAACTACTGCAAGACAAAGAAAGTAACTTGTTGCTAAATATTATTGTGAGGGAGGGCAGGCAGAGAGAGAGAGAGAGAGAGAGAGAGGCAGGTGATTGGAGTCAGATATAGATACAGAAAGAGAGATACAAGAGGAACCGTGGACGAAGAGGTAGAGAGTACCATGTAAAAACAATTGCTATTATCAGCAGTGGCATATAGGAGGGTCCATTCATTGAGGGACACTGGTGTGTCCTGGGGTTATCCAGTGCCGTAATAAGTAAAAACTTTCGGGGGTCAGAACACAATCCATATCACCACCAAGTAGCATAATGCAGGGGCGGCGGAGCGTCTTCCAAAATAGGAAGGGGGCACCAACAAAAACGGTCACTTTCTGGAAAAAGGGGCACCTACAAAGGGAAAGATCAACAAAACCTACACCATTTTTAGACATTGATATATACCCCTACATCGTAACGATTGTGATTACACTACCAGAGATGATATCAATATTGTTTTTTGTTTACGTGTTACAAGATACTGCTTAATTTAGCAACATACTTTGCAGTTAGGTGTGATGGTTTGAATATTAATTTTCGAGCAAGCGAAGCGAGCGAGCAAAATTGTAAGATTAGTGAGGTCCCAGTGCAAAAAATACATCTTACCAAGAAGAACCCCCCCCCCCCCCAAAAAAAAAAACCCTGATGAGTATTAAGCACAATCTAATAAAAAGACTTAAAATTAACATAATTAAGACATCTATAAATGCGAGCGACGTAGCAAGCGAGCTCAATTTGGGGTGCATGTTATTGAGAAAGGGAAAGTATAGGCACCTATCAAAAGGGAAAAGGATGGTTTTTAGAAAAGAAAAGGTGCTCGTGTCAAAATAAAAAGGGCAATTATCAGAGCCTTCAGAGGTGAAAATGGACGGCCATGCATTATGGCTCAAGGCATGGGCACACAGAGGAGTTTTTTTATGTTGGGAACCGGGGTAAAATGCAATAAATAATTGAAAATTTATTGCATTTTCTGTTTTTTTTAAAAATTTATGGAAACTGCCCCCTTACCCTAGCCCCCGCTGCGTACAGTCATGGTTCAGTGACAAAGCAATGGCCTCGTAACTGTGAGGCCCCAGGATCAAAAACGTGTCGATGTGCTATATTAGTGCCCATTTATGACTTAAGGGCGTAGGTCCCCTAGTTGATAAGCATAGTAGCATACACATGCTTTAGCAATCACGCAAAACACACATTGCCAAATTTTTATTCAATAAAATCTGAGAATGTATACTATTATCTAGATCTATTATTTTTTAATTATTTTTTAAATAATTCCATAA